TGCTCTTTCATTAACTTTGTAACGAACTGCTACAGTGAAGTAATATTCCACTTGGACACCGTTAAGAGCCCCTCTTCTGTGTCTTATGTTACTTGTGTTGAATTAAGAAGGCCGACACTTGTAACAGTATATTTAAAGTAAAGTGTATTGAAAATTTACTTCCTATCGTCAAAGCATTAAATAATAGAAAACCAGATATATACAAAGACAGTGTATGCAAAAGGTGTTTTATTAGGCCAGAATCTGATGAGCACATTATTTGCTGTGAAATGGCACAAGATGCACTAACTAAAATAAGTAAAGAAGTTTGGAAAAAGATGAAAGACGACAAGAGAAGTGATGAAAGTTGGGATCTCTACAAGCTAACACAGATCATGACAAAGTTATCTGAAAAAGAAAAACAAATCAAACCATCGAATGGCTGCAAGGAATCTTAAACGAAAATACTGCTAGAAAATTAAAGGAAGAAATTGGTGCAGAGAAATCTATGATAAAATTTTGGTGCATGTTCTAGAATCTATGGATAGAACAAGTATACTTAGAAGTCTAGATACCAAGATGCACAGACATAAATAATTGGGAAAAAGAAGAAGAAATATCACTGAAAAACAAGAAAACAAGCAAAGTAAGGAAAACAAGAGAAAAGAATAACAGAAAAAAGACAAACAAAGCAAGCCAAAATATGCTTGATAAAGAACGAGTAGATGAGAATAGTAGGGTATTTAGTTTAGACTTTAAAATAGCGAAAGATAGTTTGTTAGAAGGAATTATAAAAGGAGAAAAAGGTTTATGGATATAACTAGCAAACATGATGGGCTGTAGCATCCTTCCTTTGAGGTACTTTTAGGTACTCTTTATAGGAGTCCAAAAGTAAAGAGGTCAAAGGTCACTATAGCAGATCGCACTTAGGTACCATAATGGTACCGAGTAAGTTAATACTTAGCAATAATCACTAGATAATAATATATACTAGATAGAAATGTTTTAGTCATAGATTAAAATTATTGATTCAATAAAGTATTAGCATGATTGCTGAAAAAAAAAAAAATAAATAGATTTGAGAAGAATATTTTAATTTATTTATAAGAATTTAATTTTTGTATAAATAAATAGATTGTGATATTTGTAAAAGAGTTAAAGGAGAAGTATAGTATGATTTGAAAATAATAAATAAATATAAATTTCAATTTGAGATATATTTATTGAAATTTTAAATAAAAATAAATATAATAGTTTTTGTAAATGAATATTCTATAGAATAGGTAAGCAAACTCTATTAAACTCTGCTGAATATATTAAAAATTAATAATTACTAATTATTAGTGAAGCTTATTTCTTATATTATCTATCTATTCTATAGAATATCCTTGTAAGTATTTAAGAAAAGAACTAAGAGTTTCATTTTTACTAAGAATAAGAAAGTTATTTATAAGTAGAAAGTTATTAAAATAAGTATTTTCTTTAATATAAGATAATATATTAGAAACTGAAGAAAAAAGCAATATTTCTATAGAATCACTCATCATATACTCTGTTTTCACAATTATATAAGAGTCTAAAGCCTGTTCTATAAATTGGATCTAATTATTATAAAATTGATTTTCACATACTATATATTTATTTAATTCCCAAAGAATTATTATAGTACATAAATACTATAAATTTTATAGCTTTGATTTACAATAGTGTACAGCCAATCAGATTAAAGTAGATCGCGTAGAGGTGAAATTTGTTATGGCGATACTGGGGCATGGACAAAAATATAAACATGTTACACAAAAATAAAAATTTAATAGCTTAAAATTTTACTATAATAACTTTATTTGGACGATTTTAACACTCACCTCACCAGTTATATGATTAACCAATAAAATCGCAGGATCTTGTATAACGATTATAAAGAAATTTTAAAGAAAAAAAAATAATAATCGTTAATATTTTAAAATTTTATTATGAAAACTTGTATCATGTCACTAAGTAAAAGTTTTCAGCGCTTAATTTTACATATGATAAGCACTCTAACCCTAATATAAACCTCACCCTAACCCTAAAGCTAAAAAAAAAATGAGTTGTTTATTAAGAAATAATTAAGCAGAAATATATACTGGTGAATTTCACCTCTGGTTACTTTTAAATAAATCCTTATTTTAATATATTAAGTAAAAATGTTTAACATCTAATTTTATATATAATTTGTATAATTTCTAAACTTTATTAAGTTACAAACTTGTATAGACAGAAAATATACAACACTGATCGTTACTGATGTAATTTGAAATTAGGTTTGTGATCTGATTGGTTTATCTATGTAGATCGGATCAGAGATAAATAAAACAAAACGTGTTTTATTTTGTTTTAACTAGCAGAAACAAAATGGTAGTCGACCATCAGAAGAGTCTGCACGAGAAATTGTATGGAAAAATTTTTTGAGTTTGCAGGTAAATATTTACATTATTTGTTATGTATAAATATTTGGGAACTAATATTTGATTTTTAAGAATCCTAAACAGAAAAACTCTAACTGGATAATAGCTAATAATGAGGGAAAAGAGTTAGATGTGCTAGAGATGGGTTTCATGCATGCGCATGATTGCGGAATCATGCGCATTAATGCGCATTCATGCGCATGATTCCGTTTCATGCGCATTTTATCCCATCAAGAACTCTCTTCTCTCAATCGTTTTTTTCTTTTTTTTGCCTTTTTTTTATCATGCGATATCATGCGCATGAAACATTTCGTGCGCATTAATGCGCATGTTATTATAATATGCGCATTTTTCCCATCACTATTCGTGAACATATCATGAAGATGCGATGGAATGATCCATTACTCTCATGTATCTAAATGTGATTTTTTGAGACGTCAGTTTACTATAACAGATAAATGAGTGGAACCAAATTGCGCAAAATCCTCAAAAATATGGTTCAAAGTTGAATACAGAACAAGTACAATATATTCAATCTTGCTACAAACAACGTAAGAATCATATACGTATTTGACACTTAGTGGATGAAGGTGAAAATCAAGATTTCCAGGAGTTTGTAACGGATATATTTATAATTTTGTAAGACTTCTAATTTCGTATTAACTATATTATGATTTGTTTTATGTTTACTGATTAAATAATTGTTAGAACAAATATTTGGGAACGAAAAGACCTTGATGAGGGGATGTGGGAGGCATTGTTCATGACACCTTTTATTGAACTTTTTAAGCAAAATCAAAATGCTGGAAGACGTAAAACTACAAAGTACGTGCAATTCAACAAAGTCTGTTTTTTAATCTCATTTATAAAAATATTTTAAATTTTATTTATTTAGAGGAGAAAAAGGTTTAGAAAGTCCTAGTTTACGTAAGCAATTGCAAAAGCAGCAAGAAAAAGAAAATTATAATATAGCAGATTCAAGAGCTGAAAGCTGGCATACAGTTAATGTTCGTCGTCAAGATCATTCTATTAAATTAGAAATATTCTTATACCTTCCATCGATATCACACCAATAATGTCCGCTAATGTAACAAAGATTGAAGAACAAATATTAGAGATAGGCAACAATGCGGATGAAGCACAAATTCAAATCGAAGAATCCACAAGACTCAGATGATGAGAAGGTTTATGTTTTATTACAAAGTAAAAGTATGTTGAAAAATAAGAAAAAACGAGGAAGAAGATATAATATCCGGAGATCAATATAACATTCATAAAGAGTCTGACGTGAATAAAGAGTCAGATACATCAAAAATCCCGAAAATACTCTTATCGAAAAATAAGCTTGAGGTTACAAAAATGAAAAATGTTAATCAACAGGCTTATTCGCAAAGTGTAATTAAAAGCATTGCATTTCATCCAAATGCACAAATTGCCATGACTGCAGGATTGGATAAAACAATGCGCTTATTTCAGGTTGATGGTAAAATTAATCCAAAAATTCAATCAGCTGTACTGAAAGATCTACCAATTTATCAGCAGCGTTCAATCCAAATGGAACAGAAATTATTGCCGCCGGTCAAAAAAAAATATTTTTACATATTTAATATTGAAACTGGAATTATAGACAAATCTAATGGTTCAAAAACAAATCACAGGAAAAATTTTCAACCTCACCTTGTGGACAATATATTGATTTTGCTGGCATTTAGTTTTGGTCAGCAATAAAACGAAGCAATGGGCCTCAAACATGAAAATGAATGGTACAGTTGATTGGTCTAGTGATTGCCGATATTTATATTCAGTTGGAGGGGATACCAATGGGATGCTAGTATGCGAAGATGTGTTCATCGGTTTAGGGATGATGGAGGATTCAAACCTACAAAGATATCATTATCAAAAAATGGAAAATATTTTGCTATCGCTATTGGCGGTCAGTGGACATGTCCAATGATCTGCATATCCTTATTAGTTGAAAATTAATTCGTATCAATATTAATTTTATTGCCCTTAATAAATAAAACAAAAGTTATAATGAATCCTAATGCGAATTATTCTTTAACTCATTTTTATATGACTCTTATGTTAGTTATAGACAAATATTCAATATAAGTGTCCATTCTCACTTAGTTACATATTTCTTAGTTTATGTAATAAATCTGAATAAACACTTGAGATGCTTTAAAAGCCTGTGAGATGGGTAGTGGTTTTTTTTATTTTATCGAATAAAATCGGCTTTCAAGAATCAAAAGTTCTTAAAATATTTATTTAATATGTTAAATTTGTTTATAAAGTATAATGAGAGAACGGTTTGTCTTTTAAATCGAACTTTATTCACTAGCAGAACTCACGTGCACTGCATTACATAATGTAGATAGATACAAACTGCGATTTTCATCTAAAAAAAGATCGTTCGTGAGTATAAATAAAATTATAAATATATTTATTCTTAAGATTTTTCCTTCACATTATATTCTTAAATATGTTAGCATTAGAAGTGATTTGAATCTAACTTCATATCGATTTAGATAATCTTATTTGCATTCTTGTTCACATCTTTATCCCTTAAACCGTCTAGCGGGCAAATTTGCCCGCTAAAATTTTTTTTTGTCCGATTTTTGTACAATTACCCCTAGGGTTCCAAACTCTGACCCGGATAACCGCGTAACCGATAACCCGACCCGAAAAAATTACTATCCGGGTCATATTTTTAACAAACCGGTTTAATATCATAAACGGATCACCCGTCAATAAGCGGGTCACCCGTCAATAAACAGGTCACCCGTTAATAAATAGGTCACCCGTCAATAAACTGGTCAACCAACTTTCGTCTGATTGGCTGATATAAATACACTTATGCACTTTACAGTATTAAACGATAAGTTCTTTTTTAAAAAATGTAATTTGACTGGTTGATCATCACGGTTATCCGGGTCACCCGATAGGTGACCCGTTTTAGTCGGGTAGCCGGTTTTAGTTTCGGGTACCCGGTTGGGAAAGATGATTGACCCGACGGGTCACGGATAGGAATTTTTAAACCGGTTTGGAACCCTAATTACCCCAAATTTTATTAAGACGCACCCCATATTCCTTAAGCTAAATAAAATTACACTACATGCTAGATGTCATGTAATTCTTACCTCAAGAAATTTCCTTAGCGCTACTCCCAAAACCAGCTAAATATGGTTGACCGTACTATAGTCTAGTGCTTGGATCCGGATAGGGTTATCCGGATAAGTTATCCGGATATCCGGATATCCGGATAAGGGTTTGGCTAACGGATAAGTAATCCGGATAAGTAAAATTGTAACGGATAAATTATCCGG